AACGGACCAAATGTCTCTTCTAATTTCATTTGTTTTTGGAAGTATCCCGTTTAAAAATGTTTTGAAGTATAATTTCTTTTTGTCTTTGATATATGAAATCGTTTTGAAGTATTTCCTTTGTGCTTTTTTTTATTCTCTCCCCAATAAGAGTAAAAATAAAATCCATTAAATATTGTAAATAAGAAACATTTACTTGTCTCCTTAAGCCTTGTATATATTTCTATACACACAATAACGTATCATTCCCTTGTGTTTTAACCTTTGTGCAGTGTATTATAATGATGATGTAATTTTCTCAATTATTTTTCGTCTTTATGCATGTTCATGGACGTTTATGTGTCCTTCCTTGTGCAACAATATGTAAATGTATATTAGGTATACTTAAAACCGCATCTAGTGATATAAAGTCTGTTTACACCTACCACGATATCACTGTAATAATTCATTGAATTATTAAACCTTTTGTAACTAGCACCGCCAGTGTTAAAGTTACAGTCACTATGTCATGTGTATATGTATACGTGTATTCCTGACTACACTCTGTCACCTTCATCAAACAAATCATCGGTGAAGTATATGCACACTGAGGTGTGAAGTGTATGTACACTGAGGTGTGAAGTATATGTAAACTGAGGTGTGAAGTATATGTACACTGAGATGTGAAGTATATGTACACTGAGGTGTGAAGTGTATGTACACTGAGATGTGAAGTATATGTACACTGAGGTGTGAAGTGTATGTACACTGAGGTGTGAAGTATATGTACACTGAGATGTGAAGTATATGTAAACTGAGGTGTGAAGTATATGTACACTGAGGTGTGAAGTATATGTACACTGAGGTGTGAAGTATATGTACACTGAGATGTGAAGTATATGTAGACTGAGGTGTGAAGTGTATGTACACTGAGATGTGAAGTATATGTATGAGATGTATATGTAAACTGAAAGAGATGTGAATGTATGTGAAGTGTATGTACACTGAGGTGTTTAGTGTATGTACACTGAGGTGTTTAGTGTATGTACACTGAGATGTGAAGTGTATGTACACTGAGGTATGAAGTATATGTACAAAGAGATGTGAAGTATATGTACACTGATGTGTGAAGTGTATGTACACAGAGATGTGAAGTGTATGTACACTGAGATGTGAAGTGTATGTACTCTGAGGTGTGAAGCATATATAAACTGAGATGTGAAGTGTATGTACAATGAGATGTGAAGTGTATGTACACTGAGATGTGAAGTGTATGTACACTGAAATATGAAGTGTATGTACACTGAGATGTGAAGTGTATGTACACTGAGATGTGAAGTGTATGTACACTGAGGTGTGAGGTATATGTACACCGAGATGTGAAGTGTATGTACAATGAGATGTGAAGTATATGTACACTGAGGTGTAAAGTGTATGTACACAGAGATGTGAAGTGTATGTACACAGAGATGTGAAGTGTATGTACAATGAGATGTGAAGTGTATGTACACTGAGGTGTGAAGTGTATGTACACTGAGATGTGAAGTGTATGTACACTGAGATGTGAAGTGTATGTACACTGAGGTGTGAAGTATATGTACACTGAGGTGTGAAGTGTATGTACACTGAGATGTGAAGTGTATGTACACTGAGATGTGCAGTATATGTACACTGAGGTGTGAGGTATATGTACACCGAGATGTGAAGTATATGTACACTGAGATGTGAAGTATATGTAACTGAGATGTGACGAATATGTAAACTGAGGTGTGAAGTGTATGTACACTGAGGTGTTTAGTGTATGTAACTGAGATGTGAAGTATATGTACACTGATATGTGAAGTGTATGTACACTGAGGTGTTTAGTGTATGTACACTGAGGTGTTTAGTGTATGTACACTGAGATGTGAAGTGTATGTACACTGAGGTATGAAGTATATGTACACTGAGGTGTGAAGTGTATGTACACTGAGATGTGAAGTGTGTACTCTATGTGAAGCATATATAAACTGAGATGTGAAGTGTATGTGAGATGTGAAGTGTATGTACACTGAGATGTGAAGTGTATGTACACTGAAATATGAAGTGTATGTACACTGAGATGTGAAGTGTATGTACACTGAGATGTGAAGTGTATGTACACTGAGGTGTGAGGTATATGTACACCGAGATGTGAAGTGTATGTACAATGAGATGTGAAGTATATGTACACTGAGGTGTAAAGTGTATGTACACAGAGATGTGAAGTGTATGTACACAGAGATGTGAAGTGTATGTACAATGAGATGTGAAGTGTATGTACACTGAGGTGTGAAGTATATGTACACTGAGGTGTGAGGTATATGTACACTGAGGTGTGAAGTATATGTTCACTGAGATGTGAAGTGTATGTACACAGAGATGTGATGTGTATGTACACTGAGATGTGAAGTGTATGTACACTGAGGTGTGAAGTATATGTACACTGAGGTGTGAAGTGTATGTACACTGAGATGTGAAGTGTATGTACACTGAGATGTGCAGTATATGTACACTGAGGTGTGAGGTATATGTACACCGAGATGTGAAGTATATGTACACTGAGATGTGAAGTGTATGTACACTGAGGTGTTTGGTGTATGTACACTGAGATGTGAAGTATACGTACACTGAGGTGTGAAGTATATGTACACTGAGATGTGAAGTATTTGTACACTGAGGTGTGAAGTATAAGTACACTGAAATGTGAAGGCTACACACTTAGAAGTGTATGTAAACTGATGTGTGAATTTGATTGATATCAAATATGTCATTTATTATCAAGTATCAAATAATATGTCTAAAGTTTTCACAGCCAACATATTGACCGATGGAAGACCTGATCATGGCGTCTTTCCGTCATAGCCAACTCAGATCACCTTCTTAATTTGTCTTTTGATAGAATTGTTATCTTTGACTGATTTCTCGATCAGGATATCCACATAGCCAAGAACGTGACTGATTTCTCGATCAGGATGTTCACATAGCCAAGAACGTGACTGATTTCTCGATCAGGATATCCACATAGCCAAGAACGTGACTGATTTCTCGATCAGGATATTTATTTAGACAAGAACGTGACTGATTTTGCGATCAGGATATCCACATAGCCAAGAATGTGACTGATTTCTCAATCAGGATATCCACAGATGTTCATAGCCAAGAATGTGACTGATTTCGCGATCAGGATATCCACATAACAAAGAACGTGACTGATTTCTCGATCAGGATATCCACAGAGCCAGGAACGTGACTGATTTCGCGATCAGGAAATCCACATAGCCAAGAATGTGACTGATTTCTCGATCAGGATATTTATTTAGACAAGAACGTGACTGATTTCGCGATCAGGATATCCACAGATGTTCATAGCCAAAAACGTGACTGATTTCGCGATCAGGATATCCACATAGCCAAGAACGTGACTGATTTCGCGATCAGGATATCCACATAACAAAGAACGTGACTGATTTCTCGATCAGGATATCCACATAACAAAGAACGTGACTGATTTCGCGATCAGGATATCCACATAACAAAGAACGTGACTGATTTCGCGATCAGGATATCCACAGATGTTCATAGCCAAAAACGTGACTGATTTCGCGATCAGGATATCCACATAGCCAAGAACGTGACTGATTTCGCGATCAGGATATCCACATTTGTTCATAGCTAAACACGTGACTGATTCCTCGATCTGGAAATCCAAAGATTTTCAGGAAAGAGTGACGTTACATATGGAATTTACAACATAAGTAGATACAATATACATTTTTGTTGTATTTCGACTGTAAGTATATTTTTATGATAGCTGTGGTACAATTTGGCGAAAATATTTCTGGATATTTTATAGATAAATTTGAGATATATAAAAAATTCTTCACGTGAGTAATTCTGACTTCAGTTATGATAGAGTTGATTGTACTAAATGACATGATATCAGTATTCAGGAACTAAATTTCCGCGCGGAGCAATTTCTTTTATTCATGCGTTATCTGGCTAAGAAGTATCCAGTTAGTTAAATGAAGCTTCAAACGTGTATCAAATATTCAGTAACTGTTGTGTGGCGAATGAGACAAATTGTTTGTCACTTAGAATGAAACCTTGATTTTGGCTCCAACCATTATGTTGGTTTCATTGTGAAATATATTAAATCGAGAATTTAATTTAAGTGTTCATTTTCTACATACACTCTCGCTCAACACAACACCAGACGTTGTTGTTGTCAGGACTCGCTTATTCGAATGGTTTTACTTCATTCTTAAACTTTTCTCGAGAAACTGAATTGAAAGGCGTTTAATGTTATAGAGCTGTTTATGATTTCTACAGGTGAGTTTTAGCTGCTCACATATAATAGAAGTGTAGATCATCAGTCACAGTTTGTCACTTCGTCACGCCGTTAGCTTTAATTCATCAACACATGTAATTACCTTTTTGTCTCCGAAGTAAACCCACCTAATTAAGGTAGTCCCATCATTGCCGTGTAGAAGCCATACCGTTCCTATCTAATACATAGTTTATAAAACTTCCATAAATTCTTATCTTAAAATTCATTAAAGAAACGTGTCATTAACATTTTTATGTTACAAAATTTGCATATTACATATTTCAACGAAAGAATTTTGTTGAATTTTATACCTTTAGAAAAAGCAAAGTGGTTCTATCCTCAATCTAACAATACTCCACGTATATGAAGGTCCAGGTAATTTATGCGATGTTATCATTGCTCATGCGCAGAGGATACCACCACAACGTCCGGGGCTCTCCGACCGTGAATGGTATCGTTCCTAATTACACCAGTGGACAGTCGTTACTTTGATTTATTCATAATATGTCATATTTCTAAAATTATTCGGTGAAACGACAAACTAACTGACAAATAGTAAGTTAAGATTTAAATTGTGGAAATTGTCACCTGGCGATTCTTGGCACACACGGAAATTATTGAATAACTTATTTCCATTGGATAAAAAGATAGGGTTTGCCTCTGCGACACGTTGGATATGTGTGGCTTTACGTACATTCTCTTCGGAATGACATGTGTGTTTCGGATTATTCATTGTTTTGAACAATATCAGCATGAAATTCCGAACGGATTTAACGTCCCGAACCCGTGCGACCCGACCGGGATTTGGAATGGTGTTGGACATAATGGACCTGAGGGACAAGGCAATCAAAACCAGTTTGGGAAGGATTTTTTGGCTGCTGGAAGGGTAAATGTTTCCAAGCAAAATATACTGCGTTATACACGGTTTGGAAGATTTAATTTATGCAAATAACTTAACCTATATTTTAATTTTTTTGCATTCGTTTAGAAGTTTCTGTACATATATTCTGTACGCAGTTTATATGATATTTTATAACCAAAGGTTTTGATATCGAAACATTTTACCCCCAATAATGATATATACCTGTATTTTGTCACACGAAATATTCCTGATTCAAGCCTCAGATATAATATCTGCAGTAACCTGTCACGTGACCATAATTCTTCCATCCGCGTTACTCGCTGTATTCTATCTTTGTGGTTTGCCTATAACTACGAAAACGTTGAAAATGTCTACACAACACAACATGGAGACTCCTGGCAAAGATAAATATCCAACCCTGCAAAAAAATGTGCGGCGGCTGTCTTTTTGAACACTTGACATTGTGTCTCTAGAAGTATGTGTTTGATTTGTATTGTGCCTTCGATATTTTTAGTTCTTATTAGTCTCCAAGTTTATTCTGTTTGAATACTGACACTGGTTCAGAAAGCATATAGATATTAGACTATGTATTCGTTATATTCCATTAGCGATGGTATTTTCTCCTCATGACAGTTCTGGAAGGAGGAAATAGAGGCAGAATATATCCGTTTTCAGTATTTGGCAAATTTAAATGAACTGGTCTTCCGGATGTGTTTATTTCACGATGTGAAAATTTTTAAAAAGTTGAATATTCAATCATTTTGATCTTTATTCAGATAACACAGCACCGTAAATAAAAAAAGAAATTCTTTTCTTCAGATGGGACAACATTGAAGATATTTTTATTATCTTAAGTCACAGATACATTGTAAAGAGAAGTTATTAATTAACTGTTTTAAAAGGTTGAACGTGGCGGAACACTTTTCTGGTGACAAAGCCAAGCCATATTACACATCCTAATGCAAACTTAGAACTCGGGGTCGGTTAAAGATCAGACAAGCTTTTTACCGTTAATGGAACTTGCCAGGCGTCTATGTCGTAGCTTGATGACAGATGTTTGCTCATTGTAATACTAAATGACCCATTCTAACCGTTTTTCTATCGCTGATAAACGTCAAGGCCCCGGCATACTTAACTTTAACCCGTGTCTGATTACATAACCCATTAACATCTGGACGTTTTATCATATTCGGCCACACCGACCATTGATGGTCATGTATGTCGTTATTGTGCTGTGAACCATTGAAACTAACGTGTGACCCTGTATGTCGTTATTGTGATGATGGGCCGTTAATCCTACCGTGTGACCCTGTATGTCGTTATCGTGTTGATGGACCGTTAACCCTACCGTGTGACCCTGTATGTCGTTATATTGTTGATGGACCGTTAATCCTACCGTGTGACCCTGTATGTCGTTATATTGTTGATGGACCGTTAATCCTACCGTGTGACCCTGTATGTCGTTATTGTGTTGATGGACCGTTAATCCTACCGTGTGACCCTGTATGTTGTTATTGTGTTGATGGACCGTTAATCCTACCGTGTGACCCTGTATGTCGTTATTGTGTTGATGGACCGTTAATCCTACCGTGTGACCCTGTATGTCGTTATCGTGTTGAAGGACCGTTAACCCTACCGTGTGACCCTGTATGTCGTTATCGTGTTAATGGACCGTTAATCCTACGGTGTGACCCTGTATGTCGTTATCGTGTTAATGGACCGTTAACCCTACCGTGTGACCCTGTATGTCGTTATTGTGTTGATGGACCGTTAATCCTACCGTGTGAGCCTGTATGTTGTTATCGTGTTAATGGACCGTGAATCCTACCGTGTGACCCTGTATGTTGTTATCGTGTTAATGGACCGTTAATCCTACCGTGTGACCCTGTATGTCGTTATTGTGTTGATGGACCGTTAACCCTACCGTGTGACCCTGTATGTCGTTATTGTGTTAATGGACCGTTAATCCTACCGTGTGACCCTGTATGTCGTTATATTGTTGATGGACCGTTAATCCTACCGTGTGACCCTGTATGTTGTTATTGTGTTGATGGACCGTTAATCCTACCGTGTGACCCTGTATGTCGTTATTGTGTTGATGGACCGTTAATCCTACCGTGTGACCCTGTATGTCGTTATTGTGTTGATGGACCCTTAATCCTACGGTGTGACCCTGTATGTCGTTATTGTGATGATGGACCGTTAATCCTACGGTGTGACCCTGTATGTCGTTATTGTGTTGATGGACCGTTAATCCTACCGTGTGACCCTGTATGTCGTTATTGTGTTGATGGACCGTTAATCCTACCGTGTGAGCCTGTATGTTGTTATCGTGTTAATGGACCGTGAATCCTACCGTGTGACCCTGTATGTCGTTATTGTGTTTATGGACCGTTAATCCTACCGTGTGACCCTGTATGTCTTTATTGTGTTGATGGACCGTTAATCCTACGGTGTGACCCTGTATGTCGTTATTGTGTTGATGGACCGTTAATCCTACCGTGTGACCCTGTATGTCGTTATTGTGTTTATGGACCGTTAACCCTACCGTGTGACCCTGTATGTTGTTATCGTGTTAATGGACCGTGAATCCTACCGTGTGACCCTGTATGTCGTTATTGTGTTGATGGACCGTTAATCCTACCGTGTGACCCTGTATGTCGTTATCGTGTTAATGGACCGTGAATCCTACCGTGTGACCCTGTATGTCGTTATCGTGTTGATGGACCGTTAATCCTACCGTGTGACCCTGTATGTCTTTATTGTGATGATGGACCGTTCATCCTACCGTGTGACCCTGTATGTCGTTATCGTGTTAATGGACCGTGAATCCTACCGTGTGACCCTGTATGTCGTTATTGTGTTGATGGACCGTTAATCCTACCGTGTGATGGACCGTTAATCCTACCGTGTGACCCTGTATGTTGTTATCGTGTTAATGGACCGTTAATCCTACCGTGTGACCCTGTATGTCGTTATCGTGTTAATGGACCGTTAATCCTACGGTGTGACCCTGTATGTCGTTATTGTGTTTATGGACCGTTAATCCTACCGTGTGACCCTGTATGTTGTTATCGTGTTAATGGACCGTGAATCCTACCGTGTGAGCCTGTATGTCGTTATTGTGTTAATGGACCGTTAATCCTACCGTGTGACCCTGTATGTCGTTATCGTGTTAATGGACCGTTAATCCTACCGTGTGACCCTGTATGTCGTTATTGTGATGATGGGCCGTTAATCCTACCGTGTGACCCTGTATGTCGTTATCGTGTTAATGGACCGTTAATCCTACCGTGTGACCCTGTATGTTGTTATCGTGTTGATGGACCGTGAATCCTACCGTGTGACCCTGTATGTCGTTATCGTGTTGATGGGCCGTTAATCCTACCGTGTGACCCTGTATGTTGTTATTGTGATGATGGGCCGTTAACCCTACCGTGTGACCCTGTATGTCGTTATCGTGTTAATGGACCGTTAATCCTACCGTGTGACCCTGTATGTCGTTATCGTGTTAATGGACCGTGAATCCTACCGTGTGACCCTGTATGTCGTTATTGTGTTGATGGACCGTTAATCCTACCGTGTGACCCTGTATGTCGTTATTGTGTTTATGGACCGTTAATCCTACCGTGTGACCCTGTATGTTGTTATCGTGTTAATGGACCGTTAATCCTACCGTGTGACCCTGTATGTCGTTATCGTGTTAATGGACCGTTAATCCTACGGTGTGACCCTGTATGTCGTTATTGTGTTTATGGACCGTTAATCCTACCGTGTGACCCTGTATGTTGTTATCGTGTTAATGGACCGTGAATCCTACCGTGTGAGCCTGTATGTCGTTATTGTGTTAATGGACCGTTAATCCTACCGTGTGACCCTGTATGTCGTTATCGTGTTAATGGACCGTTAATCCTACCGTGTGACCCTGTATGTCGTTATTGTGATGATGGGCCGTTAATCCTACCGTGTGACCCTGTATGTCGTTATCGTGTTAATGGACCGTTAATCCTACCGTGTGACCCTGTATGTTGTTATCGTGTTGATGGACCGTGAATCCTACCGTGTGACCCTGTATGTCGTTATCGTGTTGATGGGCCGTTAATCCTACCGTGTGACCCTGTATGTTGTTATTGTGATGATGGGCCGTTAACCCTACCGTGTGACCCTGTATGTCGTTATCGTGTTAATGGACCGTTAATCCTACCGTGTGACCCTGTATGTCGTTATTGTGATGATGGGCCGTTAACCCTACCGTGTGACCCTGTATGTCGTTATCGTGTTAATGGACCGTTAATCCTACCGTGTGACCCTGTATGTCGTTATTGTGTTAATGGACCGTTAATCCTACCGTGTGACCCTGTATGTCGTTATTGTGTTAATAGATCGTGAATCCTACCGTGTGACCCTGTATGTCGTTATCGTGTTGAAGGACCGTTAATCCTACCGTGTGACCCTGTACGATGTTATTGAGATGATGGACCGTTAATCCTACGGTGTGACCCTGTATGTCGTTATCGTGTTGATGGACCGTTAATCCTACCGTATGACCCTGTATGTCGTTATCGTGTTGATGGACCGTTAATCCTACCGTATGACCCTGTATGTCGTTATATTGTTTATGGACCGTTAATCCTACCGTGTGACCCTGTATGTCGTTATATTGTTGATGGACCGTTCATCCTACCGTGTGACCCTGTATGTCGTTATCGTGTTGATGGGCCGTTAATCCTACCGTGTGACCCTGTATGTTGTTATTGTGATGATGGGCCGTTAACCCTACCGTGTGACCCTGTATGTCGTTATCGTGTTTATGGACCGTTAATCCTACCGTGTGACCCTGTATGTCGTTATTGTGATGATGGGCCGTTAGCCCTACCGTGTGACCCTGTATGTTGTTATCGTGTTAATGGACCGTTAATCCTACCGTGTGACCCTGTATGTCGTTATTGTGTTAATGGACCGTGAATCCTACCGTGTGACCCTGTATGTCGTTATCGTGTTGATGGACCGTTAATCCTACCGTA